GCCACAATGCCCGGCTATTTTTTGGTTGCAGCCGTCACTGTTGTTTGGCAGGTCCGGGCTGGATTCAAACCCGCCACCTTAGGTGTACGTGGCTGGCGCCTTAGCCGGTTGAGATACAGGCGCTGAGCCACCATTTCTAAATCTTAAAGGAATCATCTTCTGAATCTCCTTCTACTTACTTGTTTAATTAGCGCCCAAAAGGATTAAATTATAAGGAACACAACAAAGGCAAGTTTCATGGATTGGCGCCAATCTCTAACCCACATGTAACTGTGGGCCAATGGCTATAAACAACAAACTAGTCAAAGAATGTGGTTATATCACTGCAATATTGTTTTCCCACTAGAAACCAAATAAAGTATACGGTTATGCTTTAACCATAAACCATATAAACCATAAACCAAATAAAGTATATGGTTATATTAATGCTGTCAGAGGCTACCATTTCCTCATAGACAGATAAATTGTTTTCTTTTCGTCTAAAAGTAATCTGTATATACATATATATATATATTTTTTTGAGACGGAGTCTTACTTTGTCATCGTTGGTAGAGTGCGGTGCTGTCATAGCTTACAGCAACCTCCAACTCTTGGACTCAAACAATTCTCTTGCCTCAGCCTCCCAAGTAGCTGGGACGACAGGCACCCACCACAATGCCTGGCTATTTTTACAGATGGGAGTCTTGATTTTGTTCAGGCTGCTCTCAAACTCATGAGCTTAGGCAACCCACCCGCCTGGGCCTCCCAAGTGCTAGGATTACAGGCATGAGCCATGGCACCCGGCCCATACATAATATATTTTTAAGAGACAGGATCTAGCTCTGTTGTCCAGGCTGGAGTGCAGTGGCATCATCATAGCTCATTGCAGCCTCCAACTCCTGGGCTCAAGTGATCCTCCCACCTCATCCTCCTCAGCAGCTGGGACTACAGGTGCTATGCTATCATGCAATTTGGATATTTAGTCCCAGCAACATAAGCTACATATATAGAGAGAAAAAGGTCTTAAACGCACTGCTGGACATAAAATGTTTTCTTTTCTCCTGTTGAGTACTTATACCAAATAATAATTAAAATTTGGCTGTGATCTTTACATATAAGAGGAACAATTTTTAAAAACTAAAAATAGTGGATGATGATAAGAATTCTGCTAACAGTTCATTGAGTTAAATTCAACTTCTAAAACTCAAGGTTCAGTGCTAGGTAAAAAGACATGCAACCAAGTCACCAGCCTCTTCAAGCTGGATGCAATGCATGCCTTGGCTGCAGAAAACACGTAAATAGCAGTTATCAATTTTCATGCCAACAAACCTATGATTAACAAGGATGATTAGAGTCTGGATAGAACTAACACACAAGCTTTTTGCCTTTTGGGTGATGCTGACTCAAAACCACAAGCACACACATTCACCCATGGCAGGTTCATACCACTGGACTTCAGTTGCTTGGATCTCTCTCGTTCTTGGATCGAAGACTTTGGAAAAAGTGGAGCAAGTCCTCGGGACTTGGTAGGTCTCATATAGCCTTTCATTGGTTCTGCCATTCTGCTTTTATCTTCCTTCTTCCCTTCTCTCAGTGTCTTTGATTCTGATTTTTCTGTCATTTTCTGAGGTGCCTCCAAGACCCTATCATTGAGTCCAGGAAGTTGAAGACCTTTGGAAGTAGTCAGGACCAACTTATCTACCACTCCTGGAGGAGGAGCTTCGACTTTACTATCTGACTGGAGTTCTGAAGTTGACAAGGAAGCACATTCCAATTTTGTGATTTTACAAGCCAGATTAAATTCCTTCAATTTATCCTTTTCATTTTTTGGAGGTAAAAGAGTCATATCCCCTTCTTTATTTAAACTATCTGGGCCCCTGGAATCTCTCTCTTCAGGATTTTGGTCCTCACAGAAACTGAACTTTTGTGCTTTGTCTGCCTGTAAGTCAGGAATTTGGACTGGAGCAGAACCTTCCTCAGGGTCTTTCTCTTTGTTCGCTGGATATGCTGGGGCATTACCCCTACCTGCTTCTGGGCCTCTGACCTCTCCTGGGAGGCTCTGGTTCTCTACCAGGACTCCGGGAAGAAGGTGCCCTTTTGCTAGCTCTGTGATTTTCCCTTTTGAAGGCTTGGATGCACCATTATGCACTGACTCAGATTCTCCTACCACATGCCCTTCATTGATCCCTGCTTCATTTTTCAGGGAATCAGCAAGCTCACCTTTATTCTTAGGACAATGATCTCCCTGACCGTTAACTGTTTCTATGGCTGCTATAAAAGGTAGGGCAACTCCTGTGTTTGCAGAATGCACAACAGCAGAGGAAGCGTTGGGGCTTTCTTGGCCTGAGACTCCATCTTTGTTGCAGTTATCTACCACTAATAATTTGGGCATCTGGGCTAGGGCTATCCCTTGCCCACTTTGCGCCAAGGTATCTGGAAAGAAATCAATTTCCTTTACTACTTGAGAAGTAGGAGCAGACAGTTTTTCACAGGCTGCTGATTCCAGAGCCTCTAGAGGAGCTGACTTATTTATCGGTTCTGACAGTGTTCTGGGACAGGTAAATGTAATATTTCTATTTTCGTCTACAAAGCCCATTGCTCCAACTCTGTGGTCCCCTGTGGTTTCCATGGGAACATGTATTTTTGTTGCATCTATCTTATTCTCCAGAATGTGCTTCTCTGGAGAACTATTTTTAACCTTCTTACTTTTTCCATCATTACTCCTTTTATTTGGTTTCTCAGCCACTGTGGCATATCCCTTGGCTGGATCTGTCTTACTCTCCTCAGACAGTACTAAAGGAACAAATCCTGCCCCCTGGATTTGGTCTTGGCAGCTCACATCTGTCACCTTGGCTGCTGTTTCAGTAACAACAGAACCCTTGACTGGGTTTGTTTTGTTCTCCCCAAGAGTTTCAAGCTCAAAAGAATGAGCCTCAACATCTCCACCCTTTCTGTCAACTACTTCCGTTGTGAGTGTATCTGATGTATGTGAGAACAAAGGATAATGCATTTTGGGGGAAATGAGCCCAAAATCCTTCTTTTTATGGGGAATACTAACAGCATTTTCATCCTTCCCTACAAAAGGTAGGTCTAGGATTTCTTCCTCCCTCTCCACTCTAGTAGGCTGAGTGGAATAATTATTTTTAAATTTTTTGGTTTTGCCTTCATTGCTTTTCTTCTTCGGCTTTTCAGAAATCCAGGAAGCTGCCTCATGATCCATCCAAGGACACTTTCCTTCCTTCCTCTGGTTACTGACACCTCTATCTTTGACTATAGCTTCTCTTTCTGTCAGAACATCAGAAGTCTGAGTCATGCCTGACCCATGTTCCAAAGGCATTAATGGCTGGGAGGTATTTGATTCCTTAGGGTGAGTTGCCACCTTAAGCTCTCCCATCACCACAGTGAGATCAGTCATTGTTCCTGGTTGCTTTGAAGAATTCAGCCCCAGATTCTCACTCTTATCTCGAGTAGTCATTCCTCCAGTTTTAGGAATTGGCTCACTTGGTACAAGAACGGCTCTTCCATCCTTCTGGCTATCCAGAACAAATGGCAGCTCAGATCTTGCTCTTGCCTTCCCAGAATTTGCTTTCACTTTCCCAGAACCTCCCCTTCCCTTCCTGCTTTTGCCATCATCTGCCATTCTCTTAAATGATTGGTTCTCTAGCCCAGGGACCTGCACTGACTCCTGGCCCTGCAGCTGCTCAGAAGCAAATGTGCTGGGCTTTTGACTTTGCTTGGGAAAAGCTTCCCCTTTTCGTTCTTTATTCTCTTCAGCTCCTTCAGGAGACTCTTTCTGTTTGACATTCTGCAGTATAGTCATTTTACTTTCATCATTCTCCTCTTTTAGGCTACTTTCTAGTGGATTACTTGTTGTCAAAGTGGGTATCAGATTACACTGTTCTTTTACTGCAGTGAGTTTTAAAACTCCATCCTTAACCTCTTTGTCCAATATAGGAGCACAATCCTCTTTGGGTCTGATAGCCAAAGGGGTTTCTACTTTGTGTGCAGAAATGTCTGTCAGGGGTCCTTTCAGATTGAGAGAGCCTACTGCCTGGCTTTTCTCCATAGGAGTCTCCATAAAGGGTTTGGGCTGTGGTTTATACTCATCTCCCTTCAGCAATTTCTTGTCTGGGATCTGTAGTATTGACCTGCTGCCTTTGCTGTCTTCCTCTACTCTCATCTCGGGCTGAGAATTTACTGTACTTTTTGGAGGTTCTTCTGAAGGACACAAAGGAACTCTAAGACCCTCTGAGACAAAGTTCTCAGCTACCAGTTTGCCTGCTCTAAAATCAACTATACATCCCCTTTTTAGATTTTCTCTGGGGACAAGTCCACATTCTGTCTCCTTAGTGGGAGCCTGGCTGAGGAGAACACTTGACTTTCCTGTGTCAGCTGCAGAGGGATGACCTTTAGGCTCATCTGCATAGTCATCATCCCAAGGTCCTCCAGCTCGGGGCTGAAAATATCTCTTTTGCTTTGGTTTCTTCTTCTTTTTCTTCATCATCATTGGTATGCTCTGTACATCCCAGGCCTCCCTGCCAAGATCCCTCTGGGTTTCAAGTGAGTCAACGTGAACACTTTTCCTTTGGTTCCCAGGCTCAACACAGGAAGATGAACCAGAGACCCAACCTAACTCAGATGAAGAGCAGCAACTTAGCCTGGGATCAAGAGTCTTCTGTGGAGGAGAGCCTCCCAGTAGCTCAGGAGGGACCCTGGGAGGCTTAAGTTGCGTTGACCTGTGGTCATTGGGTCTGCAAACTTGTTTGGCTTGTGTGGAAGGGGTACCGCAATACATGAAGTTGGCTAAAATTCCAAACAGAAACTCCTTGTTATTGTTTCTTAAAAAAAAAAAAAAAGACTAATGACTCATCTAAGTAGTGTATTTTCACCAATCTATGTAAAATCTGTAATTTAAGAAAGCAATTTTTTCTAAAACACTTCTCACACTTAATTGGAGTCAGCAATATTTAACAGAGATCATCATTTGAGGTAAAGATTTTTTTCAACTACATTCACAAAATATTTGAAATATTTCCTTTCAGAAGTAGGATTCTTTTCTTTCTTTCTTTCTTTCTTTTTTATAGAGACAGTGTCCCACTTTATTGCTTACACTGGTCTCAAACTCCTGGCCTCAAGCGATCCTCCAAAAGTGCTAGGATTAGAGGCATGAGACACTATGTCCTTTATTTAATATCTCAGATTAATTACTGCTTCTCTCGAAAAATTGCTAGGTTGCAACATCCCCAAATATTTATAACATTCAATTTGGCAATTAATCAGCAGTTATGTGGTGCTACCTCTTATATATTTTATTCATAATCATGTAAACCTTTGATTTCAGAGTTCATGCCTGGGAATTTCTCTCTCCATCCAGGTTATGGAGTAATTCAAGGGCAAGGACCAGTACCTCAAATATCTATGTGCCTTAGCATGGGATATTTTGTACACAAGCACTTGATAATATGCTGACTCATTAAAACAACACAAATATTTATTTAGCCTCTATTTTGTATCAGACAATGTGCAAACCACTAGGGATTCTTAGTGAAATAGATCATGGCCCCTGCCCTCAAAGAATTTACATTTCAATCATAGTCAAGGAAAACTAACAAGTTGATAACCAAATGCATTATTTTCTAGCTTATCAAAACATATAACCTTAAAATTCACTAAATAAATCTACTTTAATATGGAAAGTACCTTAGTGCAATATCTCTCAAAGTTTAATGTATATATACATTATCTGGGGATCTTGTTAAAATGAAGATTATTATTCTGAAGGTCTGAGGTGCAGCCCAAGATTCTGCATTTCTTTCTTTTTTTTTTTTTTTAAGAGACAGAGTCTCACTTTGTCACCCTTGGTAGAGTACTGTGGCATCACAGCTCACAGCAACCTCCAACTCCTGGGCTTAGGTGATTCTCTTGTCT